GCCGAACTGGCCAGGATGCATAAGAAACCCTACACAACCTTATGTTCCATAGTGGCCAAGAAAAAGGAAATCAAGGATGCTGTTGTTGCAAAGGGGGTAACTATGCTGACAAAAATGAGATCACCAGTACTCGAAGAGGTTGAGAAGTTATTATTGGTGTGGATAAATGAGAAACAATTAGCAGAGATACTCTTATGACTTCGTTTATTTGTGAAAAGGCTAGGCAGTTGCATGACGATTTGGTAAAGAAATTGCCTGCAACTAGTGGTGATGTGAGTGAATTTAAGGCAAGCAAAGGCTGGTTTGAGAGATTTAAGAACCGTACTGGCATACACAGTGTGGTAAGGCATGGTGAGGCTGCCAGTTCGGACCACAAGGCGGCTGAAAAATATGTGCATGAATTCCAGGAGTACATAGAGGCTGAAGGACTGAAACCTGAACAAGTGTTCAATTGTGACGAAACAGGCCTCTTTTGGAAGAAAATGCCAAAGAGGACCTTCATTACACAAGAGGAAAAGGCAATGCCAGGACACAAGCCTATGAAAGACAGGCTGACGCTAATGTTCTGTGCTAATGCTAGTGGGGATTTCAAAGTGAAGCCATTACTAGTGTACCATTCTGAAAATCCCAGAGAGTTCAGGAAAAACACTGTTATGAAGAGTAAATTGTGTGTGTTTTGAAAATCTAATAGTAAGGCATGGGTCACGAGGGAAATTTTCATCGAGTGGTTCAATGAAGTGTTTGGCCCTAGTGTGAAGGAGTATCTCCTGGAAAAGAAATTGGATCTCAAGTGCATGCTAGTAATGGACAATGCACCTGCTCATCCTCCAAACTTGGATGACCTAATTTTCGAGGAGTTTGGGTTCATCACAGTAAAGTTCTTGCCCCCGAATACTACTCCTCTCCTCCAGCCCATGGACCAGCAGGTCATTGCAAACTTTAAAAAACTCTACACAAAAGCAATGTTTCACAGGTGCTTGACTGTGACCACAGACACTCACTTGACCCTAAGGGAATTTTGGAGAGAACACTTCAGCATCCTCCATTGCATAACCCTTATAGGTATGGCTTGGGAGGGAGTGACTACCAGGAATTTAAACTCTGCCTGGAGAAAATTGTGGCCAGATTGTGTCGACAAGAGGGATTTTGAAGGGTTTGGGACTGACCCTGATGAGCCTATGTCTGTTGTAAAATCAATTGTGGCACTGGGGAGTTCCATGGGGTTGGATGTGAGTTTGGAGGATGTGGAACAATTGGTGGAAGACCACAACGAAGAGCTCACCACTGAGGAGCTGCAAGAGCTTCAGCAGGAAGAGCAACAGATCGCAGCTCAGAATCTTGCTGCAGAGGAGGAGGAAGAGAGATGGAAGAAGGTGCCTTCTTCAGAAATTAAAGAGATTTTTACTATGTGGGGTAAGATGGAAAGCTTTATGGAGAAACATCACCCTAACAAGGTTGTTGCAAGCCATGTTGGCAACATGTACAGTGACAAAGTCTTGGGCCATTTTAAGGAAGTGTTAAAGAGACGCTAGAAACAGAGCTCTCTCCACAGTTATTTTGCGAGACAGGACTCCAGTGACACTCAAGGTGGTCCTAGTGGCATTAAGAAACAGAGAAGACAAGCAACCCCAGAAAAGTAATTGGTACCTGAGGTGTTGCTGGAAGGGGATTCCCCTTCCAAACTATAAACAATCCACTCTCTCCTCCTCCTCCAGTCTCCCATACACTAAGAAGAATCTCCAATAAAGGTAAGTGTTATGCTGTTAATGTTTCATTCATCATTTCCCATTGTATTGTGTATGTACTACATGTATATTTCATGTAAAAATTTTTTGTTTTAATACTTTTGGGTGTCAGGAACAGATTAATTGTATTTACATTATTTCTTATGAGGAAAATTGATTCGCAAATCGTAAATTTCGTTTATAGTAGCTCCTCCAGGAACGGATTAATTACGAAAAACGAGGGACCACTGTATATGTACGTCAAACACATTGGCTCATAAGACATATATACGACAGAAACAGTCAAAGGGTTAACAGTGCAAGTTGGGGCCCTACTATACTCAAAATTCTGTAGATGACAACTACTTTATTAGGATTATTAATCAGGTTAGTAATTAACCCTTTGACTGTCGCAGGCCCCTTTCTGATACTGTCATTCTATGTCGCAGAAGTTTTGGGGAAAAAAAAATTTTTTCTTGTGAAAAGATAGAGAATCTTTTCCCGATGTTAATGGCACCAAAAGTACGAAATTTGGCTGAAAACTCACGGAATTATGCTCCCACGAAGTTAGCGGTCTCAGCGACATATATGCATTGGCAATTTCGCCGAATTTGAGACCTGTTTTTGGTGAATTCCATTGTTCCAGTTGACCAAACTCATAGCTATTTCTTTAGAACTCCATTTTTTCTATCAGCTGAGTACAAGAAACCGCCCATTTACCGATTTGAACTACCCAATAAAGTGGTAAGAAATTGGTAATTTCCCCAATTTCACGCAAATTAAAAAAGATGCCAATTTCAAAATAGGGTCCAAAATAAACAATGTAGACACTCTTGGCACTAAAATAACATATCCTCTGTTCATTAGTCACGTCTCTAGGCCCCTCTTATATTACTATTGCTTTCTATTTTGATTTTTTATTCATACTAAAAAATACAAAATTTACTGTTATGCTGACTAATGCATTATTGTAAAAATGGTATAAATAATATCAGTGCACTAGTAAAAGAATATTAGACTCCCCAGTTGATGTGTATTGGACATGTGGTGTAATTTGCTTACTCATGAACATTGGTAAAAACCGAACATTTCTGCTACTTGGAGCTCAATTTCAAGGTCGTTTTCATTGTGAAAGTAATGAAAATCATCTCTATTTCTGTAATATGTTTTCCATTTTATCACCTGAGACCATAAAAACGAGAATACAACGATAAATACTATACAAAAATACACCTCACAGTAAGCGTTTTAATCCCAAAAAACGGTCAGTTTTTTTTTTTTTCCTCATTACGCGCTGCATGCTGCAGGATTTTTTTTTATGTGGTGCACACTGACCACACAGACCCATTCCCCATTCTCTCACATGTGAGCCTACCAGCTTTCTCCTGCTTGATTTGAAGCCGCTAGAATTTACGGGTATAAATACATCAGAAACAGTGGCACGTAAGACGTACATATACGACGTAAACAGTCAGAGGGTTAAGAATCATTCATTATCATGATTACAGTGGACCCCTGATGTACGATATTAATCCGTTCCTGAGAGCCCATCGTAAGACGAAATGATCGTAGGTTGAATTAATTTTCCCCATAAGAAATAATGGAAATCAAATTAATCCGTTCAGGACACCCGAAAGTATGAAAAAAAAAATTTTTACCACATGAAATATACATATTCCTACATACAAAAGGAAGGATACATGCACAGTAGTAGAGTAGTACATGCACAATATATATTGTGCATGTTCTACTATACTAAATGAAGAATAAATGACACTTACCTTTATTGAAGATGTAGTGATGAGACACTGTGTCCTGGGAGTGCCTTTTCCTTCTGAGTAATGTAGGTCCTGTTTGGCATTTTCTTCCAGAACAGGCCTTATCACACTGTGTATGCCACTATGATTCTTAAATCTTTCAAACCAACCTTTGCTGGCCTTAAATTCACCAATATGAGCACTAGTTTCAGGCATTTTTTCCTGTTCACCTGGGTGTTGGTCGACTGTTGTGGGTCGCATCCTAGGAGACAGGATTAAGGACCCCAATGGAAATAAGTTAGACAGTCATTGATGACACACTGACTTTTGTTTCTCGGTATTCTCGATATGCCACACCAACAACAGTCTCTCCACATGTTTGAGTAGTACAGATGACTGTGGTGCAGCAGCAGCTGACTGTGGTACAGCAGCAGCAGCAGCTGATCATGGTACAGGAGCAGCAGCAGCTGACCTTGGTACAGCAGCAGCTGACCGTGATACAGCAGCAGCTGACTGTGATACAGCAGCAGCTAACTGTGGTACAGCAGCAGCAGCGGCAGCAGCTGACTGTGGTACAGCAGCAGCAGCTGACTGTGGTACAGCAGCAGCAGCTGACTGTGGTACAGCAGCAGCAGCTGACTGTGGTACAGCAGCAGCAGCTGACTGTGGTACAGCAGCAGCAGCTGACTGTGGTACAGCAGCAGCTGACCGTGGTACAGCAGTAGCAGCTGCTGACCATGGTACAGCAGCAGCAGCAGCTAACAGCAGTACGATAGTATTTCTCATCCTTTTTACCACAGGGTTGACACTAGAAGCTTTCTTTGGGCCCATGGTGGCTTATTTAGCAGTTACAAAGACTAAAAACACTGGAATAATACAAAATTTATCAAATGTATGCTTGAAACTGTCCACCCTGGCTTGTAAAAATGTTACATTAGCTCAGCTGAGGCACTTTGGCCAGATGGACGCATTTGGGAAATGCTGTAAGTCTAGTTTTTCAACATACGTCAGGGTCAAATTTTTACGCTGAAAAGCATCATAGGTCGGTTTTAATGTAGGTTGGGGACATCGTAGGTCGGGGGTCCACTATGCTCTGTTATTACTTAATCCCTTGTATTTAAGAGTCATGCACAGACTCTAGCTGTATTTCTACAGTTATTGAAAATGCTGATGTTTGATAACAGAGTGTTAAAGTTATTAAATGAGAAAGTTTTGTAGTTTCTAAATAGGTTGCACTTATGAGAGGAAACTTATAACATTCTGATCCATCCTGGACCATTTTCAAGTTATTCCAGGTGCGACTTAACAGTGGTCCAGCACAAACTCAAAACATTGTCATAAGTTTCCTCTCTTAAGTATGGCTTACTTGTGAATTGTTCTAGTCACAATATTGGAACTTTTAGGCTTAAGAGTTGTGTAGGAGGTATGAACATAACAAAATTATTTGTATTGGGGTTTTATAGGGCTACCACAGCTTGGGCCATATTGACAAGTAATTGCCACTTTTCCATATCTCCAGGGCACAACCCACCACATCACTGGAGATAGGCCTTATATGGCTCAAGTCGTTGTAGCCCTTGAAATGCAATGGCAACTACATCGCTCAACATTTTGTTACATTGCTATTGCATTTTTTTTGTGTATCTCACTCTTAAATGTATTCATTTTCAGCATGTTTTTATATGCCTGTAATGAGTTCCTGTATGTATGAATGATATAATTTGCTAAGGAAATTTGGCTTTTAACCATTGTTGAAATATTGACAGACCCAGCTTATGGTTTCTCCAACTTATTTATTTATATTAATATTTTTTCTTTGCCTCGGCCTTAATAAATGCAGATGGGTTGATGAAGGACGAGGGAAGCCATAGAATTGATGAAAAAAGGGTGGGTGGTTGGTGCATTGAGGTATCTGTGGAGACAAAGAATGTTATCCATGGAGGTAAAGAAGGGAATGTATGAGAGTATAGTGGTACAGGTCAGCCATCACTAATCTGGCAGTCAGTACTCTGGTTCTGTCAGTAATCCAACACTAATTTCGGCCAGCATAATTTCAAATTTCCGGGCTCACCACACCAACCTGCTGTTACTGTTTGGTGGTGGTACTTGCTGCATAAGTCATTCCAATTTATTTTTCTCCATGTTATAACCTGCTTACTTTTAGCCCTAGCCATAGTTCCAACGAATAAAAGAAGTGCTTCTCGTTGTGTAAAACACACACTGTAAATTGTCCATAAAAGACAAAGTGGCTTTGAAGCCACAGTCAGTTGCCATGAGCTTAGCTCACTCACATGTTGTGACCGGTAAATTTGGGCCTTCATAAGAGACAATAGGTCTGTGTGATAAGTGTGCACTATATAAAAAAAAAATCCTGCAGCATGCACTGCATAATGAGAATAAACTGTGACTGTGTTTATTTTGTAAAACAGCGAATTTGGAGTGTATTTTTGGATGGTTTTTATGCTTGTATTCTCATTTTTTTGGTCTTGTTGGATACACTGGAAGATATATTACAGAAATAGATGTGATTTTGATTGGTTTCACGGTGGAAAGCACCTTGAAATTGAGCTCAAAGCAGCTGAAATGTTCGAGAGTAAACATATGATGTTACCGTCCAATGTGTGTTCAACTGGCCAGTCTAATACACGATCACAAATGGGTTGACATTATTTATACAATTATGACAATAATGCAGTAGTCTACATACCAGTAAATCTTCTATTTTTTGTGTGAATAAAAATTCAAAATGGAAAGCAAGTGTAATAAAAGAGGGGCCTGGAGACATGACTAATGAACTGAGATAATGCTATTTTAGTGCCAGGAATGACTGCATTGTTTATTCTGGACCCTGTTTTGAAATTGGCATTTCTTGAAATTTGTTTGAAATTGCCCAAATTACCAATTTCTGACCACTTTATTGGGTAGTTGAAATAGGTAAATGGGCTGTTTCTTGTACTCAAGCGACAGAATAGAAGCAGTACTAACGACATAGCTATGAGTTTGGCAGACTGGAACAATGGAATGGGCCTAAAATAGGACATAAAGTGGGTGAAATCGCCATTGGGTTAAGTGTACTACTCTGTAATTCGGCAAAATGACTAATCCTGCACCCTACAGGTCCCAATAATGCTAGATTAGTGATGGTCAACCTGTACCAACACTTATATGGATGTGAAGTGTGGGTTGTAAATGCTGCAGCAGGAAAGAGGCTGGAAGCAGTGGAGATGTCGTGTCTAAGGGCAACGTTGGTGTAAATATTATGCAGAATAGTCAAAGTGTGGAAATTAGGAGGGGGGTGTGCAGTATTATTTAGAGGGCTGAGGATGGGTTGTTGAGGTGGTTTGGTCATTTAGATAGGATGACTTGGAGGGTGTATAAATCTGTAGTGGAAAGGAGGAGAGGTAGGGGTTGTTCTAAGAAAGGATGGAGGGAGGGGGGAAAAGAGGTTTTGTGTGCAAGGGGCTTGGACATCCAACAGGCATGTGTAAGCATGTTAGGGATGAAAGGAGATGAATGGTTTTTGGGACTTGATGAACTGTTGGAGTGTGAACAGGGTAATATTTTGTGAAGGGATTCAGGGAAACCTGTTAGCCGGACTTGAGTCCTGGTGGTGGGAAGTACAGTGCCTGCACTTTAAAGGAGGGGTTTGGGAGTGGCATTTGAACTGTCGAATCTGAGTGCTTCTGCAAAGGCAGAGGTCATGTGAATGATGGTAAAAGTGTTGAATGATGGTGAAATTGTTTCTTTTTTGGGTCACCCTGCCTTGGTGGGAGACGGCTGGCGTGCTAAAAAAAAAAAGGTTATTTGGTAGAGGTGTGGCGAGTTCCTATGTTTGGCATAATTTGGAAGGAATTATGGCTTTTATTGTCATTACTATATATTTGTTTACTGTACCTCATGTTGATTTAATAAGCCTCACTATCACTACATCTAACTTGGCCTGGTAGTGTCACATCATTCCTTTCCACACACTTCCATATCAGCAAGGAATGTCTGTTAGAATGTAAGGCAAGTTCACTATCTTTCCAGGATTGTATCTTCAGTGTTATGAGTGTGAAGATTTCTTCAGAAGGTAGGATATTTGGAATCTCAGATAAATAACATTAAGTGATAAACTTGTTTTCAGTCAGTAAATAGGAATCCTTTATTAAAATTTCTTTCAAGTGATAAATTTAGAATGGATTTTCACACAGTTTTACATCTAAAAAAAAAAAAAAAACTTATTCTTTTGCTTTAAATATCAGGAATGAAAGGTGGCCGAACTTCTCTAGATCTTGAACTGGATCTGGCAGCTCAGCAACGGCGCCTCCGTCAGCTGCACGAAGAACTGGATGGTCTGCGAAGCCTTAAGACTCAACTAGAGAGTGTAAAAAATTCCCCTGACCCTCCTTCGTGGTTGGCTGACCAGACAACTATGACCAGTGTTCTCTCGCAGGTCTGTTCTCATTCATCAACTTGTTGGTGTTGTATACCATCAATAATATGATACTCAAGTTGTGAAGCAAAATTTATTGCTATCATCATCATCATCATCACAGCCATTATCATCATTATCACCACTACCATCATCATCATCATTATTATTATTAATCATTAACATCAGTTATAGGCAGAATGGAGTAGAGTTATTGGTGAATATTGGAAAGCCAGTGGTACTAGGTGACGAGGACAGTAACAAGAATAGTGGAGGAATAGAAATGAGTAAGAAGAGAAAAGAGAAGGGTGGTTTTCTAAACATGTATATTACACTAATATTCGTTATGCAAGAAATAAGATGGACGAATTGAGATTAGTTGCAAGTGTGGGTAGCATTGATGTTTTTGCCATAACTGAATGTGGTTTAATATGAAAAATTGGGAAATGCCTGCTGAATGTTACATTCAGGCTTTTAAATTGTTCCAAGTAAACAGAAGTATCGGAAAGGGGGGTGGGGTGGCACTCTGTCCGTGATCATTTAAATTTTTGCATAAAAATGGGTATAAAGTCTGATATAACACATACAGAATCTGGATAGAATTTTCAAAGGGGTATGAAAAATTTATTTTAGGCATGATATACCGTCCCCCAAACTTAGGTAGGGACCAAGGGGGACTACTTCAGGAGGAAATTGTTAAGGACATAAGGCATGATAACGTAGCACTTCTAGGGGACTTTAACTTTAGTCAGATTGATTGGAATATTTTTAGCATTGAATGGAAGTATGTTAGTAGGAACAACTCAGTAATGGTCCCAGATTTTCACTTAGCAGATTACAATGGGCTTAGAAAACACTTATCTGTTGACTAGGGTAACAAAGAGAGCTGTCAATATGACAGCTTTCTAAACACTATACATGCTGCCCAAAGAATGTTTATCCCATACAGTGGACCCTCGCCTAACGAACGCATCGCATAACGTTAAATCCGCCTCGGCAAGCGCTAAAAAACTCGCTCAACGCGATTCGTTCGAGACGCTTCCATGTGCGGCCTGAGCCCACCTCACTTGTTCCGTGGGTGCCAGTGTTTACAAGCCAGCCACCGCGGTCGCTTCCAAGCATACAGTCGAAACATTTCATATTATCACAGTGTTTTTAGAGATTGCACCTGCAAAATAAGTTGCCATGGGCCCCAAGAAAGCTTCTAGTGCCAACCCTACAGCAAAAAGAATGAGAATTACTATGGATATGAAGAAAGAGATCATTGCTAAGTATGAAAGCGGAGTGTGTGTCTCCGAGCTGGCCAGGTTGTACACAAAACCCCAATCAACCATCGCTACTATTGTTGGCAAGAAAACGGCAATCAAGGAAGCTGTTCTTGCCAAAGGTGCAACTCTGTTTTCGAAACAGAGATTGCAAGTGATAGAAGATGTTGAGAGACTCTTATTGGTGTGGATAAATGAAAAACAGATAGCAGGAGATAGCATCTCTCAAGCGATCATATGTGAAAAGGCTAGGAAGTTGCATGACGATTTAATTAGAAAAATGCCTGCAACTAGTGATGATGTGAGTGAATTTAAGGCCAGCAAAGGTTGGTTTGAGAGATTTAACCCTTAAATGGTCCAAACGTATATATATACGTTTTTTCATCATCTGAAAGTATGTAAAAAAATGTAGATCATCTTTTTTGTTTTACATTTGAAAACGTGTAAAAAAACTTTTATCTACATTTTTTTTGTTATATTTGAAAATATATAAAAAAGTAGATCTACTGTTGGAGCACTACGAATTTGAACGTCGATCTGTTTGGACCGTTTAAGGGTTAAGAATCGTAATGGCATACAGAGTGTGATGAGGCATGGTGAGGCTGCCAATTCGGACCACAAAGCGGCTGAAAAATATGTGCAGGAATTCAAGGAGTACATAGACAGTGAAGGACTGAAACCTGAACAAGTGTTTAATTGTGACAAAACAGGCCTGTTTTGGAAGAAAATGCCAAACAGGACTTACATTACTCAGGAGGAAAAGGCACTCCCAGGACATAAGTCTATGAAAGACAGGGTTACTCTGTTGATGTGTGCCAATGCTAGTGGTGATTGCAAAGTGAAGCCTTTAGTGCTGTATCACTCTGAAACTCCCAGAGTGTTCAGGAAAAATAAT